AAATGTGTCACGTTTCTAATGTAAATATTTATGTACCACCCCGATGTTACACATGACTTCGGAGTAATTTGTTACAGGAGCCAACAGTATCATTGTGAGTATTTTCTTGCTTTTTTTTATGCCATATTACTGTCTCACGCCTAATGCTTATACCTGCTCCTGCAAATGTTTCAATGGCTGAGGATGATGCACCTGTACCATCTAACATATATCCAATTTCAGCATTAATTCCATTGATGAATTTATTATTCAAATCTGCTAGAAAATAACAAAATAATACTAATCTTTCTTTATTTTTTCATTAGTCATATTATTTTTATCTTTTGGATTTGTTCCAGCATAAAGTTGATTAAAAAAACCTTTTAATGCTGGTTCAGATTCTTCTAACATTTTATTAAATTCATCAGGTTCTAAAATGGGTTTTTCGTTATTTACCCTATGTCTTATATATAATACACCTGCCATTAATTTGATTTTTTTATCAAGAGGCATTTTTTTTAAAATAAAGCAAATAAGCTAGTTAAATATAATTATTGACAATAAAATAACAGCAATTTATTTGATAATTTATTAATTTATTAAAAAAAATAAGATATATATTTTCATTTTGTTCAATAATAATAACATTATTATTTTTAGTATATTGGTGTGTAAACAATTAGAAGAATAATTAATTACTTACCTAACTTTGCTTTCTCAAGTTCTGCACACACTTCATGATATGCAGACTCTAATTGTTGAAATTCTTCCTCAGAATAAAAAATATCATCATGTAAAGCATATGTTTTATTTTGAAATTTCTGAATTTTTATAATTAGGTGAATCTAAGTATTCTGGATCATTGTCAGTCTTATACAAACAGTGATGACACATCATTGCTGTCTCTAATAATTTAAAATAATTAATTAATCATCCAGGTGCCTTCCAGAATAAAATTCTTTCTTTTTTTTGTGCTGTAGAAAGATAAATATCATGCTTAGGATGGGAACAAGTGTTAATTATTTTGTTTTTAGCATTAACAATTAATTTACTATAATGCCTTTTACATAATGCTTTTCCAACCAAATTTAAATGTTTGTTAATATCTGGAATAGTAACTTTATCAGATACTATGGAAGCATTATTAATTTTATAATCACAGATAATGTCATCTTGGCCTTCTAAATCACAATATTGTACTTATCTTTACATTCATTACTGGAGGGTGTTTCTTGAGACAAATTTTGTATGACATCCATTTTCTGTAAGGCAAGTTGCTTAAAATGTAGCTATATATTAAATTATATATTAAATTAAGTATATAAAATTTCTATTGCAAAAAAGACTACTATAACTAACTTCTGAATTACTTCACCTTTTACCGAATTACTTTGGCAGTCTATAAAATAGAAGGTGAGAAGTCAGAATATATTGTTGTTATTGCCGCAAAATTGATTTTGGTGATGCAAAGTCAAGCTAAAGTCAGATGACGGTCAGTTTGTATATGAAACATATGTGGTGTAATTAATGCTGATTATTTCTTAAAATTGAATACCCGCTATGTTTATCAGTATGAATGAAGGTCTTACCATATATGATAAAAAATGTTGATTATATACATATATATTTTTAAAGTAACTCAATTTTTTATTAATTTGGGGCATGCTGTAACAAAACCAGACAAAGTGAACGTTGGTATTACATATGGTTTTTTTTTTGTTCAGTGAGGTCTGATTAGTTTATTTATGTTAATGATTTTCAATATACATGATTATATATATCTATACATTTATATTAGAACAAAATAAAACTAACTCGATCTAACTTACGAACCCGTATTTTAAACCACAACCTACCACCACACATATAATATACATGGGGGTGGTCCAGACTATACATGCAGCCCAAAGTATTTTAACACTGTCATAAAGGGGGGTTACACATGTAGTAAAAGGGTGTTACACTTATGTTTTTAATAGTGAATGCCGTAATTAATTTCTACTTACTACCATCAAAATTGGAATAATTTTGACCATCAAAATCACCAAACCAATTTGGGCTGCATGTATAGTCCAGACCTAATGTCCCAGGAAAACCCCACAACTACCCTCCATACTCATCCCCTTTTCTATATAATTTTTTATTATACTACATCAGGAAAATGGGTACAAATATTATGTGTATATAATACGCAATTGCAGGGATTAAGCATATAATATATGTACAATTTGCATACATAAAAAAATACATGATTTGTACGCATATTATATGCTTAATCCCTGCAATTGCGTATTATATACGCATATTATTTGTACCCATTTTCCTGATGTACTACTTAATTTGTTGATATTATCTACACTTTGATTACTAGTATTATCAACATTATTTTTATTATTACTATTATTGATATTTTTACAATCACCAATACCACCACTAGTACCTGTGTTATTAATTATTTTTGTTTTATACTTCATATTTTTTTCTATTCCTATTTTCTTCTCCCACTTTATCACCTCATTGCATCTCTCTATCCAAATTTTTTCTCTGGTTACTGATATTATTTTTTGATTGGTATTACATATGTAAACTCGATAAGTTGGTTTACTTGATAAGTCAGTCATATGAGCTTACCCCCACATGACTGAATTATCAAGTTTACATATGTACCAAGAGTTCCAGGGATCAAAATTTAGTCATTTGTAATGTGATTATAATTATCAGTTTTATAATATCCATTTGTTATCTTAAGTGATATATAGAATTACCTCTAGATAAAAATAGTTAATATGAAACTCATTTGCATCCAATCTACTATGAAACCCAAGAATCATAGTACTATCAGAAGCATTTTGAAGAAAGAACAGGGTGAAAAAATTGCTCCTTACATTTTTAAATTAGCAGATACCAAATCTTTGCAAACATATTTAGACAAAGAAAGGATTACCTATGAAATTTATCAAGAGGAAAGAGTTTTCAAAAGAGTATTAGAGAATTCTAGTAAAGAATCAAGAAAAAAAAGAAAACTGGCAGAATAACTAAAACAAATAATTACTTTTTTTTCAACTTTGTTAATTTTTAATTACCTTTTATTTTCAATCAAGATCATTTTTTAGTTTCTTTAACTTCAATTTGTGCAATTAGTTGAGTCTGCTGTTTCTTTAACTGTTCAACTTCACTTTCAAGTTTTTGAATTTTATCTAATAATTCTTGCTTTTGCTTATTATGTCAATCCTTCAAAACTTCTAAGGCTTCCAAATGAGAACTGATTTCTTCTTTAGCACTGGATAGTTGCTGTTTTAAGTCTTTATTCTGCTGTTCCAATCTGCCAACATAACTCTGTGCTATTATTTCTGTTATGGTTGGGTTTTTGAAAACAATCTACCCTGTTTCTCATAATTCTACCACAATTAAGGTTTCTGGTCAAAACTGCTTCTATTAGTAGCCGAAATTGCCCAAATACTTTGGGCAAAAATTATTTTTTTATAAGCCCAAACTACTTTTTGTTATTAGCCGAAATTGGGCGAAATTATTTTAAAGTTGTTTAAGTTAAAACAAGTTGATTCATATAGTTTTTTAATGTTCATGCTTATAGAAAATGTTGAGAAGCCCAAATTGTCCAAACTAGTTTTGGCTTTGAGAAACAGTTTGGACCAGAAACCTTAACCACAATAATTACAATATGGCAAAGTATCATTATCAAGAGCTTTTTTACACTCAACACAAATATAAGTAATGTCATTGTAATCATTATTGCTTGTATTGTAAGATACTATTTTGTAAGCAGCAGTTAAACTCCTTTCTCTTTCAAAAGAACAGAAATTACAATGCCATTTATATCCTCTCCTCAGCTTGTTAACTAATTTCATACTATTTATTCTTTTGTAAAATATAGGCATTGAATTTTTCTCTGGTTATTTCTTTTATTTGGCTATCTTTTGTTTTTTACTTTGTTGGTAAGGAGTTTAAATTTGTTTTCTTTCCTTGGTAAAACTGGTAGTTCTTGAAGTTGCTTGTCTGCTAAATAATTCTGCCATGCCACAGTGTTTTCTAGCAGTTCTATTTTTTCTCAAAGCTTTTCTAAGTTGTCATATTTTTCCTTGCTTTGCCTTACTTTTCATTGTCTAGCTACTTCAAGAGCCTCTAAATGATATTCAGATGTTTCCACTTCTAATGCTTCTTCCAACTCTTGATTAATTTGCTGTAACTCAACAACCTTTTTTTCTAGAAGAGCATCCTTTTCTTTTAATTCTTCTTTTTCTTGATAAGTAAAACCAAAAGCTTCTTCATAATTTAATGCTTCATGACCAAAACTTTTAACAATGTTTTCAGGAGTGAATTTGTTGCTAAAAACAACTCTTCCAATTTCAATTCCATTCTTTTCTGGATAACTTACTTAACCGTTGTCAACTCAAGTAAACCTTTCTAAGGTTCTTAAACTTGTTCCAGTATATTCTGAACTTTCAGTAAGACTGTTAACTGCATTTCAGATTTTAGCTTAAAGTTTTCTTTTTTTAGCCAATTGCTTTTTCAATAATTCTATTTCATTTATTAGTGCTTTATTTGTTTGTTGTTGTTTGTTTACCATGTTGGTCCCTTTTTTTAATTTATTCTTTTAATATACTTATATCCTTTTTATAAGGATATGTTAAGTATATAAATTATTTTAGTACTTTTTTTACTTTAAAAGTGGAAAAGCTAACAATATTTGTCAAAAGATTAAACTTAATGACAGTAAGGGGACAAATTAACAAGTGGTGAAGTAACAAAGGTAATTTTATTCTAAATATTTTATTCATTGCCAGTATAGATTGGTCTTGGGCAAGTGATATCTTTGAATTCATTTCTAACAAATGGATGAATATTCTGGTAAAGGTATTCTGCCTTTTGTAATCCAAAGGAGGTGGTGTTAAGACTAAAATAGATAAAGATTTAATCTCTTCAAAAATATCTGCTTTCTTAGTTTTCAATAAATTGAATTCAGTAAAAGGACCATTAGCAACTTCTTGAACTTTCACTGTACCAAGATTAGATGATTCAAAAAGAAAATGTTGATATTTCTGTATACTTGGTAATTTCTTAAAATAAATTCCCAAAATAGCTTTAATATCTAAGCATTGAAAACCTTTTCCACCTTCATAACACTGAGTTTTATTTAATCCAGCTGGACTAGACTTTTTTATTACCTCAACTACATGACTCAGACAGTCTACTCTTGTTCTTCTATAGAGTTTTTTAATCATGCCGAAGTTACCATCACATTTGAATTTTGTATGTCCAGGAATCATGAAATTCAATTCAATGCTTTCATAATAACCACAAATTACCAAATGTAAATAAAATCAAATAGTTGTATTATTTTTATTTTGTCCACCAGCATTATCACAAGTAATCTTTAAATGCTTTTCACCTTTATTCAATTTCTTGATTCCATCAAAGATCATACTAAGGGTGCCATTAGGACCTTTTCCTATAATTTCATCATCATTAAGAACATAGTTAATTTGCTCCCTTACTGCTTCATCTTGAATACCAAATAAATGAACTTTACATGGACTAAGGTAATAAATTTTACTTAATTGTTGATCTAAATGAGGCACATGAACATTTTGGGCTCAATCATAACTATAATGTGCAGTAGCATCAATACTGCAATACTGTGTTTTACCCTTTGAATATTTTTGGTGACCAGTTTTTCTTGTTCTTCTGCTAATTTTGTATTTTTATTATAATAATTTCTTTCTAGTTTGGCTTTAGACAGATCCTCTTTAAATCTTTAGCTTCTTCTTCTTGCTGAGCATTATAATGTAAACCATCTCTAAAATGTTGATGAGTATCACACAAGTCAGTTCTTGGACTCATAATTTGAATTTCTGGTGTCAATTGATGTCACAATTTTCTGAATAATTATTTTTTGAATATAAATAATTATATATCTTGGTTGGATAAAAAGGGTCTGATTCATTTTGTCAACAATCATTTTGTCAACAATCATTTTGTCAAAAGTTTATTTTGTCAAAAGTTCATTTTGTCAAAAGTTTGTTTTATCAAAAGTTCATTTTGTCAAAAGTTCATTTTGTCAAAAAGTTCATTTTGTCAAAAATTATTTCATCAACAATCATTTCGTCAACAATCACTTCATCAACAATTATTTTATCGACAATTATTTTATCGACAATCATTTTGTCGAAAGTTCATTTCGTTGACAGTTTATTTTGTTGACAGTTCATTTCATAATTGTGTAGTTATCCGCAAAAATACCCGCAAATTTGCGCAGTATTTTGTGAAACCGTGAGAATATTCGAAATTTGCGCAGCAATATTATTAAAATATCCGAATTATTTTTTTTTTTTTTATTTAAATGACATATCATGTATAGGAAGTATAGGAAAAATAGACAATTTTTTAGTTCTTGGATTTTAGTATCTTATAAATGATGTCCTTTAGAATACATATTATTAAATATAAATTTAAAATAAAAAAATAAAATATTAATAAATAAATAATTATCAAATAAATTATGAATTAGATTTTCATGATTATACACATTTTATATAATTTTAATTATAGCATTTTTATCAATCCAAGAATTAATTGCATCTAAGGTATTGTTACATTTTGGTATATCTGTACCATTGTATATTTTCAATATCATTGATTGATTTAAACCAATTTCAACTTTGGAATTTAGACAAATTTCTTTGGCAATCTGTTTTTGACTTGTAGTTGTAATATTTTTGCGATAATCTACTACAGATTTAAATCTTTCCACAAGCATCCTTTCCTCTTTTGTAAATAGTTTACACTTTCTTTTTTGCCAGTCTTCACTTGGATCATCTATAATTTTTTGGTCAGTTCAAGGAAATTCTCCTATATTTATATCTTTTTAAAAAGCATGTTTTATTTTATATATCATTACACTTAAAAATAGTAAATACATTGACATGTGGTTAAAAATAATGAAGAATAAAAGCAATCTTAATTAATTAATCTAATAAAAAAAGAATGATTTGATAAACTTATGAATTAACCCCAAATCAGTCAAAATAACATTAATTATTTGAAAATAGATGGAAATCAAATGGTTTGAAATACATTAATACAGTCAAACCTCGTTTCAATGAAGTGGCTGGACGTATAAGAAAATTTTGTTCAAAATCCATCAAAACGAAATTATGTTAATCATGGATTTTTATGTTTTCATAACGTGTAACAAGATTTTTAAAAATCCGTTGAAATGCGAATTTAATTATAATCCGTTGAAATGAGGGTTCAACTGTATGAATATGTGGTTTGGTTTAAAAAAAATCAAATGATTTGATAATTAATTGTAGTCAGTTGGAAAAAAATAATGAATTATGAATATGTGGTTCAATTGAAAAAAATCGAATGATTTGATAATTAATTGTAGTCAGTTGGAAAAAAATAATGAATTATGAATATGTGGTTCGATTAAAAAAAATTGAATGATTTGGTAATTGATCCTTGAAAATTGGATATGTGGTTAAAAAAATAGCAAAAATTAAATGCATAAAAATTTTTTTTGGATATGTGGTTAATATGTTAATTTATATATATATAAATGTGGCAAAAATAAAATGCATTAACATGAACAAACATAATAGTATTAATTTTTTTCTATATTTATTTACTATAAATATTTCATTCATCAAATGAATAAATATGGATTCGGATATTTTAATAATATTGCTGCGCAAATTTGCGGATATTTTCGAATATTCTCACGGTTTTACAAAATACTGCGCAAATTTGCGGGTATTTTTGCGGATAACTACATGATTATATATATTTGTTATTCAATTTATATTATATTTCCAATAATGATTTACATCATTTAGAGTCATCTAAAAAAAAATCACCAGAGAATAAAGAAAAAAATAAAAATTTTATTAAAGAAAAAGAGGAAGACAACATCAGCAATAATGATGGTATGTAATTATTTTAAAAAATTGTATTTTAAATTTAAATTATTTTTAATCTTATTGATGTTAAAATTTTAGATGTAATAAATGCTGCTGCTGATAATAATAATACTGATGGTAATACAATTCCTTGTGGTTGTAATTATAATTAAAAATAAATCTTTTTGAAGATGCATTAGGTAACAGCAAATTCATGAAGAGGGAAATGTATTTTTTTGATCATTTGTTGTTATTCAATTTATATTGTATTTCCAATAATGATTATTATTAATTTAATGATTTACATCATTTAGAATCATAAAAAAAAAAAAATAAGAAATATTAAAAACAAATGAATTGTTCTTATATTGACAAAAAATATATACATCTGTGTTTTTTAGTTAAAATTTATGGTTTCAGTTAGTGATGGGAATTTTTAACCATACATTCAATAATTCCAAGTTATTAATTAGTTAACCACTTATTAACTATTTCATTCTGAGCAAGAGTTATTAACCCAAGGAAAACCTATATACAGACCAAATCTTACTGGGGTATTCAATATAAGTTGATTAACAAATCTAATTAATGTCATAATGTAAATCCATATATGCGGATTTTTTTATGGTGCCCCCTTTTTTTCTCTAAAAAAGGAAACAGTGTAACAAAATATTTTGCTATTATTTTTTAAATAAATATTACGTTTTATTAGTATTATGAACTTTCAATCACTAAGGCTTCTGGAAAATCGTCACATTTATAAAATTATTAGAGGTTTTGATCAGGATATATTTGTAGAACAGTGCTATGGAGACAGAATCTTTATTTCATACAAATTTTTCGGAAGTTGCAATAGATAGAAGTATAATGATAAAGAAAGAAATTTTCTGTATTTCGAATGAGTTTTTTAATGCCACTGGTATTTTTAATCCATTAAATCTTTCCATAGCTCTAATCTATATTACATTTACTATCTTGTACACTAATTTGGTGTCTATATCTTTGAAAACGGAGGAGGAGTAGTGGTTTGAAAACAGCATGTTTTATCAGCGTTTTATTAGTATTATGAACTTTCAATCACTAAGGCTTCTGGAAAATCGTTACATTTATAAAATTATTAGAGGTTTTTGATCAGGATACATTTGTAGAATAGTGCTATGGAGACAGAATCTTTATTTCATACAATTTTTTCGGAAGTTGCAATAGATAGAAGTATAACGATAAAGAAAGAAATTTTCTGTATTTCGAATGAGTTTTTTTACGTCACTGGTATTTTTAATCCATTAAATCTTTCCATATCTCTAATCTATATTACACATACTATCTTGCACACTAACTTGGTGTCTATATCTTTGAAAACGGAGGAGGAGTAGTGTTTTGAAAACAATATGTTTACTATGTTCTTTATGTAAATTTCGGAAATTCTGTATATGATATGCAGATCACAAAAAAAAATCACATATAACCAATCAATATATGGCATTAATTAGTTTTGATTTTCTTAGAATGTCGCACACCCCAATAATACGTGGATAAATTGAAAAATTTTAAAATTTGACACATTTTTGAAATTGGCCACGAGGCGCAGTAAATGGTGGTTAAGGGTCCGCACCATACATTTCAAGAATTCAAACCAGTCCAATTTGATAAAATGTAATAAACCAATAAAATAATTAACTCACGGGAATTATAAAGAAAGTAACATTTTTTTTTTAATTAGATTAAATTAAGAGTTTTTAGATAATTGAACTTTTAACTAAGGCTCCAAACAAATCTAATTGAATTGAATTTTAGAGTGATTTGATCTGATTCCTAAATTTTATATTAAATTTATATTACACAATGAATCTCAATGTAGTGTATGTGTATCTCAATTTAGTGGATACTAATGGATTGAGGTTTAATAATAAAATTCTTCTCCATATAGCAAATTACTTGATACAGTCAAACCTTGTCACAGCAGATGAATGAATGGGACACATAAGAAAATTTTATTTAAAATCCATTGTGGCAAGATTGCTAATCTTGCCACAACAGATTTTTATATATGAAGCAAAAATTTAAAAATCCATTATGACAAGAATTTAATATTAATTATTATTATAGTCTTCTGTGAGAAGGCTTGACTGTATTAATTACTTCATATTCATGGTGTCAATTATGTGATTGGCAACAAAACATTAGATGAGTTGATTAAAAATACAACTTAAAGCAACTATACACTCTAATAAATATTATCTTGAATGGATTCCTTATAATGATTTAACAAATATTGAAAAGATGTGAAGGTGGTTTTTTGCAACTGTATACCAAGCTATTTGTTATAAAGGTGTAGTTCACAGAAAAAGAATAGGAATGTGACATTAAAAAAATAGTTCATAAAATATTCCTGATGAATTTCTTAATGAGCAAAATTATTTTATTATATTTTTTATTATCCCCAAATAAAATTATGCCACATCTGTTATTCCCAGTTGATTTATTAATTAAAAATTTTTTTTCACTTGTTCTAAAAGTAGCATTATTTACAAGGCAAATTTATAGTTTTCTCCAGGGTGGGGTAGTCCATGTCCATGTCAACAATGCTGGTTATATAAATAAATACAATAAGAAATGAGAGTATGAATATAATATTAAATAATTCACATAATTTAAAATTACATTGTAATATTTTAATGTAGAATTTTCAGAGTTCTGAAAGCTCTTTGACTTTATTATCAAAATCTTCTTGCAAGTGATCAATAGTACTGGGATAACTGAAAGAATTACTGTCTTCATTTTTTTGTTGCCCATAATTTTCCTCTCTATCAACTTTATCAACTATATTTGAGCCTGAAATCATTACATTAAGCATTTTTTCAACATATTGAATATCAGGCCTGCTTTTTGGGTCATCCTGCCAACATGCTAGATACAAGTAAATTATCAAAAATTTAATGTATTTAAATATATAGTTTTTAAATACATATATAGATTTTTTACCTTTGTATAAATTAATGTATTCATCAGGTGTATTAGGAATAGGTTCCTCACGAAATCCTTGAGAAATATCATACATTAAAGCAGCATGTTGTTGATGATGATTACTAAAAGGTGGTTTGTTACTAGTCAATTCCCATAATAAAACACCCACACTGTATACATCTGATTTTTTATTTGGCTTGCTATTATACTTGAAACATTGTGGGTCAATATAAGGCAGCACTCCTGCTAATTGGAATGCTGAAGTAGCTGTAAGTTCAAGTATTTTACGGGAAAATCCAAAATCTGCCAATTTTATGGTTTTTTGATGAACCAAGATGTTGTTTGAATGCTTTTCAAAAAAAGATAAACATTATTAAATATAATTTTTTTTTAAAAATAATAGGTTTATTATTTATTACCAAATCTCGATGGATAATATTGTTTTCATGTAGACACAAAACAGATGATGCAATCTCATATGCAAATTTCAGCTTTAGATCCCAACTAATTGATTCTTGTAGGTAGCTTCTCAGTGTTCCACTATCTGCATACTCAAGGACCAATAAATATCTCTCTTTGCCTTTATATATAAATATAAATATTAGTTAATGGAGAAAATCAAAATAGGAAATAATTTAAACATACTTTCATTCTTAGTGACACCATAGAAATGAATAATATTTTGATGATGATTAACTTTACGTAACAATTTCAACTAGTTGAACCAATTGTTATCATTAGTTGAAAATTTTTTTTAATTCACAACCAAAAATATATTATAATTTACCTCATTAGTAATTTCTTTCATATTTGTTATACCATGTTTATAGGATTTCAAGGCACAAATACTGCTATTATCCAATGTTGCCTTATAAACTTTTCCAGAATAACCTGAACCAATTTTTTGAATATTTTTAAACCTACTACCATAATCATAAAAATTAATGTGTTCCTTCTGAATTGCCTCATCAAGCCATCCTGACCAATTATCCTTAGATTTATCAATAGTTACTTTATTTTCATTGATCATTCTATTGTTTGGCTCATCCTTTGTTTCTTTGCTTGCTTGACTAATTGGAGCAGATGATGATGATTTGGATAATTGTAGTGAAGAAATTTCCTGTAGTTCTTTAATTTTAAATTCATCATTATTATTATTATGTGTTGTAAAAGTTAATTTATAATATAATACTTACGCTCTATGGAATAAAAAATAAAATTATTTAATTAGATGATGTCTTAATAATGTTTATTTTGTGTTGTAAAAGTCAATTTATAATATAATACTTACGAGCTATGAAATAAAAATAAAAATAATTAATTAGATGATGTTTTAATAAAGTTTATTTTGTGTTGCAAAAGTTAATTTATAATATAATACTTACAAGCTATGAAATAAAAATAAAAATAATTAATTAGATGATGCTTTAATAAAGTTTATTTTGTGTTGTAAAAGTTAATTTATAATATAATACTTACCAACTATGAAATAAAAAAATAAAATTATTTAATTAGATGATGTTTTAATAAAGTTGTAAAAGTTAATCTATAATATAATACTTACCAACTATGAAATAAAAAATAAAATTAATTAGATGATATTTTAATAAAGTTTATTTTGTGTTGTAAAAGTTAATTTATAATATAATGCATACCCTCTATGAAATAAAAATTAAATTTACTTAATTAGATGATGTTTTAGTAAAGTTTATTTTGTGTTGTAAAAGTTAATTTAATACTTACCCACTATGAAATGAAAAATAAATTTACTTAATTAGATGATGTTTTATTAAAGTTTATTTTGTGTTGTAAAAGTTAATTTATAATATAATACTTACACCCTAGTTATTATAATGTAATAAAAAATAAAATTATTTAATTATATGATGTCTTAATAATGTTTATTTTGTGTTGTAAAAGTTAATTTATAATATAATACTTACACTCTATGAAATAAAAAAATAAGTTTATTTAATTAGATGATGTTTAGTAAAGTTTATATTATGTTGTAAAAGTTAATTTATAATATAATACTTACGCTCTATGAAATAAAAATAAAAATTATTTAATTAGATTGATGTTTTAATAAAGTTTATTTTGTATTGTAATAGTTGACTTATAATATAATGCTTACCCTCTATGAAATAAAAAATAAATTTATTTAATTAGATGACGCCTTAATAAAGTTTATTTTGTAAAAGATTTATTT